TGGGATTGATAATACAATGATGTTTATGCATTTTATAAGATATATACAGTATATATAAATAAAACTATACAGTACATTCAGAAAGTATTCAGACCTCCTTCACTTTTGTCAGTTTTGTTATGCTACAGTTTGATTCTACAATTGTTGAAATCCATTTTCTTCTCATTAATCTACACTTGGTACCCCATATTGACGAAAAACAGAATTTTAGAAATGTCGGTAAATTTATTAAAAAGAAAAAAACTGAAACATCACATTGGCATAAATATTCAGACCCTTTGCAACAACATTTGAAATTTCTCCTATTTCTCTTGATCATTGCTGACATGTTTCTACACCTTGATTAGAATCTATATGTGGTAAATTAAATTGATCGGATATGATTTGGAAAGGGACACACCTCTATAGAAGGCCTCATAGCTGGCATACCTGTAGCAGCAAAAGCCATGAGGTCAAAGGAAGTGCCTGTAGAGCTCAGACAGGATTATTGCAAGGCACAGATCTGGGGAAGGCTACCATAACATTTCTGCTGCACTGAAGGTTCCTAAGACACAATGGCTCCATAATTCTCAAATGGAAGAAGTGCGGCACAACCAGGATGCTTCCAAGAGTTGGTTGCTGGTCAAACTGAGCAATTGGGGGAGAAGGGCCTTAGTAAGAGAGATGACCAAGAACTTCATGGTTACTCTGATTGAGCTCTAGAGATCCTCTATAGAGATGGGACAGAGTTCCAGGACAACGATTACTGCAGTCCTCCACTGATCTGAGCTTTATAGCGGAGTGGCTAGATGGAAACCTCCCAGTGCAAAACATGAAAGCCTACTTCGAGTTTGTAAAAAAGCACCTGAAGAATACACTGATTGTGAGGAACAAGGTTCTCTGGTATGATGAAACCAAGATTGAACTGTTTAGTCTCAATTCTAAACGTTATGTCTGGAGGAAACCAGGCACTGCTTATCACCTGCCTGATATCATCCCAACAGTGAAGCATGGTGTCAGCATCATCATGCTGTGGGCATGTTTTTCAGCAGCAGGGACTGGGAGACTGGTCAGGCTTGAGGGAATGGAGCAAAATTGAATGGAGCAAAGTGCAGGGATATCCTCAATAAAAACCTGTTCCACCGCACTCAGGACCTCAGACTGGCCCAAAGGTTCACTTTCCAACATGACAATGATCCTAAACACACAGTCAAGGCAACACAGGAGTGACTTAGGGACAACTGAATGTTCTAGAGTGGCCCATCAGAGCTCTGACGTGAACTCTATTACACATCTCTGGAGGGACCTGAAAATGGCTGTCCACTGACAGTCGCCATCCAACCTGACTGAGCTTGAGAGGATTTGCAAGGAAAAATGGCAGAAAATCCCCCAATCCAGGTGTGCAAAGCCTGTTGGGTCATATCCAAAAAGACTCAAGGCTGTAATTTCTGCCAAAGGTACTTCAACAAAACACTGAGTGAAGGATCTGAATACTTATGTCAATGTGATATTTCAGGTTTTTTCTTTTTAATAAATTTACAGACATTTCTAAAATTCTGTTTTCACTGTCATTCTGAGGTACTGAATGTAGATTAATGAGTAAAAAGATAGATTTCAACAACTCTACAATCAGGCTGCACCGTAACAAAATTGACAAAAGTGAAAGGGGTCTGAATACTTTCTGAATGTACTGTATATACACTAATTCCTTTCTTATTACTTGTACAGTTGTGACTGTTAATAAAATTCTTCACAGTAAATGTGTTTTAATTCAGAGGGCTGCTAGAAAATCCTTTTAGTGCTGGGCTACACATTAAGAAAAATAATTATATTCAGTCTTCTTGGGGTTGTATTTTTCTCCTGCATGGTAAGAACAGGCATCAGGGAATATTCCACCTATATTAAAATAATATCACCTCATATGTCATTGGAACTTTCAGTCATCTTACCTGCATTTGGTGTTTTCGGCTTAAAGTGTGATCGGAGCTGCCATATTTCTATAAATCTTGTTGGGGGTGTGTGGAGTGCTGGCGTTGTTTCAGTAAGTGGATTGATAGGCTGTGTGGTTGTATCATGATTGGTAGATTGGTGCTGATT